ACCATAAAAAAAAAAAAAAGATTATGCTGGGTACAAGTGATGCTAAGTGAAGTGCTAGAGGGACAAGGAGGCTCCCCATGTGGTGTGAAGTATCAGTACCCTGAAAAGATGGCTCAGCTGGGGAAATCACCCTCAGAAGAAGCGCTAGTCATGACCAAACTGTGCTAATTTAACAGGGTGAGGCTACATCAAGTTCACTTTCTATATCCTTTCGAAGTTTTTACTTTTTAAAGTTTTCTCTTCATAATTATTTTAATTTCCTTTTCTATTCGTTTTTCTAGTGACTTTTAGAACATTCTCTGCTAGTCTGTAGATGACTTCAACTTCTTAAGCAGCCACATGTAGGCCTACTTAGTTAACAGCAGTCCTAATTTTTTTCTTCTGTATAAAAATGTTGGGAAAAAATCATTTATTGATTTTTTTAGTGATAAAAGTTATAAAAGAACTAACTTATGTGTTAAAAGTGAAAATCTCCCATCCATATACTAACCAGGCCTGACCCTCTTAGCTTCTGAGATTAGGCATATTAAAGGTGATAGGACTTTAGGCAAAAATTAAAATCTCAAGCTGGGTGGCTGGGTGTGGTAGTAAATGCCTATAATCCTAGCATGTGGGAGGCTGAGGCTGTATGTATGTATATATATACATATATATATATATAGAGAGAGAGAGAGAGAGAGGGAGAAGAAAACCACTCAACCTTTATCTGCAGAGATAATCACTATTAACTGATGATATTCTTTGATTTTTATATATGCCTGATTTTTTCTTCTCTTAAAACTTTTTATTAGCATTTTTATTGTACTTGTGGTACATTGTGACATTTATAAAAGTGCTTACAATGTGCCTTAGAGTCACCCCCTCCATCATTCTTATTTATCTCTCTACCTATCATACTTCTGATTTTTATATACTTTCAAAAAATATAGGTGAGAGGAGATTAAACAGACTCTTCTTTCTTTCATTTTGAAAGAAAAACTGGGGTTTGAATTCAGGCCTCATGCTTGCTAGGTAGGCACTTTACTACTTGAGCCACTCTGCCAGCCCTTTTTTGTGTTGCTCATTTTCAAGATAGGGTCTCATGAACTATTTGTCTGGGCTTGTCTTGAAGTGTAATCCTCCTGAGTAGCTAGGATTAGCACATTGGTTTTCTTTTCTTTTGTTTTTTTTTTTTTGATGAGACTGGGGTTTGAACTCAAAGCTTCCTGCTTACAAAGCAGCACATTGATTTTCAATTTGCTTTTCTTCTTGGGAATATTTTCAGAGAATCACTTGCCTTGCTATTTGTCATGGTTGAACACAATTTCATTATTTTTAGTGCTCCATGATGTATTTGGTTGATTCTGTAAATGAAATTACTTAAAGCGATTTTCATTTTGTGGGGAGAGAGGTATTTTAGGAGGTTTTTTGTTGTTTTTTGAGACAGGATCCCATTTTATAATCACATGTTCTCCCTCATATGCAGACTTTAGACTGCATATGTTTAAAACAAATGCAGTAATATTATTGGACATGGGTCACACACTAAGGGGAAAGCGCATATGGGAGGAATGGGGAGAGGTAGGAAACCCAAAACTTGAAAGTGTCTGATGTCCCCACTGCAGAGGAGCTAATACAGAAACCTTAAAGCGACAGAGGTCAATATGGGAAGGGGATCAGGAGCTAGTGAAGAGGTCAGGTAGGGATGAATCAACTTGAGTTGTAACACATTTGTACATGGAAGCAATGCTAGGAATCTCTCTGTATAGCTATCCTTATCTCAAGTAGCAAAAATGCTTTGTCTTTCTTATTATTGCTTTTGTTTTCTCTTCAACAAAATTGGAGAAGAGGGCAGAACAGGTTCTGCTTTGAGGTGGGGGGGAGAGGGAGGGAATGGAGGAGGGGGAGGGGGAGGCAGGGGGCAGAAATGGCCCAAACAATGTATGCACATATGAATAAAAAAAAATGGATCCCATTTTATAGCCCAGGTTGGCCTCAAAGTTGCAATTCTCCTGCCTCAGCCTCTGGAGTGGTAGAATTACAGGTGTGTATTGCCCTACCTGACTCTAGGAGATTTTTGAGAGTATCATTTAAGAAGTTTGCTCATCTATACTTTTCATGACCATGTCATATAATTGCAAAGTCCTCCCCTTGTATAACCTCACTGCCCCTGATGACAGTCCTATAATGCAGTTTCTGTTATCCATACATAGCACAGAAGCAGATGAGGCCATGGAACCCCAAGCAGGGACACATATATCCTTTTGTTCTAATCACAGTTGGGTCCTCCTGCCCCTGACAGATGGTGTATGACGGCACATCCTTTCTGTTCTTGGTGACCCAGAGTTAGTTACAATCCTATGTAACTATGACCCGATAGAAGACTTCCTTACTTTCACTCTTAGTTTATTGGCCTGTGACAGTATCACTTCCTCAGTCTGGAGCAGTGCCATATTTCTATCTCCAACAATGTTTTATAGGGTAGATAACTGTCAAAAGCACCTTATTCTGCCATCATTTTTGGATTTATTAACTTGTAAGAAAAAAGGTGCCAGGAAGCAAAAGAGGATTTATTCCATTGTAACCTTTGGTGGGAGGGGGGCAAAAGTCAGCATCCATCCTCCTTGTTCATGCTGCATTTAAACAGTACATCTTTTAGGAGCTCTGAAAATTGAACCAGGCACATGTTTTCAGTTGATGATATTTTAAAATAATTATGATCTGATTCAGTCCATCAACATATATTAAGGTTTTCATTTATATCAAGCACTTTAAATATACTATTTATTATCCTCAAAGATATATAGATGAGAAAACTGAGTCTTTGAGAGTTTTAATGTCCAAGATGTAATGAGAGGCTAAGCTGGAATTTTCACCCACTTCTGCCCATTTAAAACTCAGACTCTCTTCAACACACAACATGGTTCTGTAAGCAAGCTGCCAGTGTATCAGAGTAAGTTGTGAGTCAGCGGTTTCTGATGTCCCTGCCAGCTCTAAAGCCAAGCGGGTACCCACTGGGAGTTTGGTTGGTTTGGTCATAAAGGCTGCTCATTCCACTTCTGTGGTATCTTATGTAACTGGGAACTATTTTGCACACACACAAAAGAAGTCATAGTCTTCTTTTCTTTGGTTATTTATTCAAAATAATCTGACAAACATCAACAAGGCAAGTCTTCCATTTTGATTTGCAAAGGAAAAGATAACAACTCTTTGACAATCCCACTACTATAAACTTGAAAACCTGAGGAAGGAGGGAGGGGAACAAGAAAAAAAAATGGAATTCATTGTTTCTTTCTTTCCTTTTTACTTATTCCTTCCTTCATTCCTTCCTTCCTTCCCTCCTTCCTTCCTTTCTTCCTTCCCTCCCTCCCTCCCTCCTTCTTTCCTTCTTTTTAAAATTTTTTCTGTACTGAGGATTGATTGACTCTAGGACCTCATGCTTGCTAAACAACTGCTCCATCACCTGAGTCACACTCGAGGCCTGTTTGTTTTTATTTTGTTTTTGAGAAAGGGTGTTCCCACCTTTGTCAGGCTGACTCCAAATGGCAATCCTCTTTGCCTCCACTCCTAAGTAATTGGGACTCACAGGTGTGTGCCACCATACCTGGCTCATGCCGTTAAATCAGTGCATCTCACGTTGCTTCCTGAAGAAGAGCTGGAGAAAGAGTTATCTTCATTGTGTGAGAATAACTACGGTAAAAGTCTAGTCCATTATTGTTTATTTAATTCCTACAATGTGTTAGGCATTTGCTAAATCCTGAGATAAAGTGATGAATTTTGCTTACACAGTCTTGCTCTGAAGGAATTCATAGTCTATAATGATAGGCAAGATGTTAAACTATAATATGGGATTGGAGATGTAGCTCAGTGGTAGAACAAAAGTTTAACATGTGAGAATCCCTGGGTTAGATCCCAGCATGGAAAAAAACCAAAGCCAAAAACCAAACAAGCAAGGGATCCCAGTTATAACACGGCACTCAGGAGTGGAGCTTCGAGGAGGGTGTCCGGGCGCTCAGAGTAGGGGCAGTGAAACTGGCTTCTCTAAGGAGGATGATGTCTACGATGGCCTTGAGGAATATAAAGATCGTTAGCCAGGTGAAGAGAAGTGGGCTAGAAAGAACATGCCAGTAAGAGCAGAAGCACAAAGGTCATGGATGTTAAAGAGCTGAAGAAAGGCAAGAGGAGAGAGTAGGCTTTGGGAGGATGGATTTTGCTTGGGATACATGGAGTCTGAGACATTCTAATGAGCATGGAGCTGGATGGATGGGGCTGGTGTTTAGGGATAACCTTGGGTAGAAGTGTAGATTTGAGAGGTGGGAAGTGCTTGTTGAACCCGGAACAGTTGGCTTAACTGTCCAGGAAGATGTACAGTGAGGAGAGCAGACAGTTGGGACTAGAACATGCACAAAAATGACACTTAAGGGATGGACAGAGGAAGGAGAGAGAAAACATAGGGAGGTGGGAGCAGACTCAGGAGAGTCCAAAGGCATAGAATCCAGATGAAGCCTATGGAGACAGATGCCTTTGATTCTGGCAAGGTGGAACCTGAAAAGACGAAGATGATAGAGACAAAAGTGTCAAAAGTGTTGACTGATCATGAGGATGAAAATTTAGTTTTAAGAGTAACTAAGGAGAAAATACATGGTGTGCTCTTGTGAGAAATCTGGAGGAGAAGAGAAAAGAGGTTGGGTGACAGCTAGAGGCATAGAGGAGATCAAAGGATGATGAAGATGCAAATGCAGAGGAAACTGGCATGTTTCTACACTGCAAAGGACATGCCAGTAGAAAGGTGGAAAATGGGAGAGTGATGGGTGACAGATGGAGGGAATTCTCAGGGGGTGAGCTCCTTGTGCACTGAGATGGAGCAGGAAGGAGATGCTCTCACATGACTCACAGACAGAGGGGTTCACCAGAACTAATGCTCTGCCTAACTCGTATGACAGATCCCCCTTACTTTTGTCAGCAAACAGCCCACTGTCTCTTGGATCTGCTGTGTCCTGCAGGAACATTGTGCTCCAACGATGGGGAGCAGCACATCTACCCAACATCATTTTGCTTTTCAGAATGCAGAGAAAGGTATGTGTTTCTCACCTCCAAAACTAGCCATAGGTGCCCAGCGCCCATAGTACACAGGGAGGGGCTGCTTGGGGGGAGACAGAGACCAACAGCATGGGATGAGGAGTGGTGAGAATGCCAGGTTAACCCTTTCACAAGTACAGATGGCAAGGCTTTTTTTTTTTAATGAAACGCAGATGGTCAGTATTATGCAGTACATATTTAAGAGCCAGATGGTCTGGGTTCAAATCCTGGCATCATATACCAGTTAGGAGATCTTTTTAACCTTTTGGGGCCTCAGTTTCCTTACTTTTAAATAGGGGCAGGGGGATTAATAATAATAGCAATAATAATAATAGCTCTTGTAACATATTTGTAATGAATATTAAATGAATATTTAATATAAAGTATCAGACCAGTTTCAAAGCATTCCAAGTAATTATTAATTACCATTAACACCAAAATTTGTGGGTGCTTTGGAAATATCCAAGGTAAGCTATTTGTGAATTATCTGAGTGCTGAGATGGAGGGAGTGTTTATAAATGGAGGTGAACCTGTCAAGATCGGGTCTCAGGAGAGGTGGATGAAGCAGCAGGTTTTTTCTTTTCTGTTTCTTTTGTAGTACCAGGGATTGAATTTAGGACTTCATACTTGCTAGGCAACGGTGCTACTACTTGAGCCACACCCCAGTTAGTTTGTTTTTCTCCAGCTAACTTTCTGCAGGCTGGCCTGGTATGGCATTCCTCCTACCGCTGCCTCCTGAGCAGCTGGAATTCTAGGCATACTCCACCATGCTAGGCCCTATCTGGACTTTTATACCCTTTGGAAGGCTGTTCTAAAAGTCGAAGCAAACAAACAAAAAATAAAGTAAGAAAGAAACTGGATGTGACTTTTACCTTTTTGGAAAGTAACTGGTTAGAACTGGTCACAGATAGTCCTCCAAAGTGAGGACCAACTGTCCAGTCCTGCAGGAAGATCTGGAGTATGACTCATGATGGTCACAGCATTGGAGTTAGAAACCTGGGCTCCCACCCTGCTCATCCCTGGCTGCCTGCCACTGTTCAAGGAATGGTGAGCCATCTGTGAAATGCAGGTAGTACACAAAGGCAGTTATCCTCTATTCATGCTCACAGCATACCTGGAACTGCTGTAAACGCTTGACACACGTTATTTTGTTTATCTGCCCAACAGTCCTGCAAAGCAATTTTGATGACTCTTTTAATTTTAAAGATGCAGATGTCAATTGTCCCCACCCATGTTCAATATCGTGGGTCTTATTTGAAATGCGAGCATGGCAGAACTTTTAAATCTGTGACATGCCTGCTAAATGGGATGTTACTGTTTCTCTCATTTGCAAAGTAATCACCATGCTGTGAGGGCTGGGTAGGTCTGTGAGGATGTTACGGAAAACCGTCCCCTGGTCTCGATGCTGATTCACAATTTACAAATAACAAAGAAGAGACAAAGAAGGGTGCAGAGAAAATCAACTTCTCCAAGCACCGTCGTGCCACTTCTGAGAGAAAACGTCTACCTTTTAAAGGGGAGCTCAGGGGCTCAGCTTGACCGAGTGACCAGAGGCATGTTCACTGTGGCCGCTGGCCTTTGTCTCTCCAGGTGGCTGGGCATCTCTTCTCTGAGGCTGTATGTCTTCCTGGTCAGAGAGTGATAAGGGGTAGAGAGCTTGCCTGTCTAATTAAAGAACAAAGGGAGTTAACTTTGAATTCTCTAGGATGTAGACAGAGAGAGAAAGAATGTCAATTTAATCAAAAACAGCAAACTGACCTACACAAAAAGTTTTTCCCTTTTGTAGTTTCAGTTACATTTTCTGCCCTGTCAGTTCTTTCCTCCCATTTCTATGGAAAAGGGTCACAGCAATCATCTAACTGTTCTCTGTCTTTAGTTTTAAATTCCTAGGTCCAAGTAAGCAGTCAGTGCTCCTCAGCAAAAGCAGCTTCTTTGTAATTCTTTTTGTCTGGATATATCCACTAGGGATGTACAAATGACTGATTTTTCAAAAGTTATTTGAAATGACTCCTTTTTGTGTAATTATGCCACCAATTTATATAAGGTTAAGTTCCCTTTCATTTTGATCTACATTTGCTTTGTAATTTTGTAAACCTTTTATCTATTTCCTGCTCCACTTAATTTCTGCTGTGTAACAAACTATTCCAACTCTTAGTGGCATAGACAACTATCTTACTGTGCTCATGACTGTGGGCTGGAACTTTGCCAAGGGCCCAGAGGGTGCTTTGTTTGATGCCAGGGAACTGGGGCTGCAGCTCTTCTAAAATGGCTCACGCAGTGTCTGGGTCCTTACCGTGCCTTGATTTCCTCATCTTCCAAGACCTTTCTGTGTATTCTGCGCTTCTCACAGCATAGCCAACTCCTTCCGTAGCAGGGGCTGCCCCTAGGGTGAGCATTCAAAGAGAAAACTCCAAGAGGCTGGAGGCACAGGCCACCAGCTTCTTCAGATCTGAGCCTGGAAGCCCCAGGCTCATTTCCTCTGCATTCACTCAGTCCCTGAGGGCACAGAGCCACCCAGATTGCAGGGGAGCAGATGTAGAACCCCACCACAGATGAGGGAAATGTCAAAGGATTTACCATCATCCTTTGCCAGCCACAGTTCCAAAGCCAAATCTATAGAAGAGATATTGGGAAGTGTATCTTTCATCTCTGTCCTCTCCACTTGGCTCCTTCTCTCTGATGAGAAGTAACTATAAAAGTTTTATTGGTTTTTTTTTTTCCATTTTCTTAAAAAATAGGCTAATTATGTGTGTGTATTCATATATTCCCTTTTCTTTGCTAAATGGCAGCATCCAGTTTACCTTGTCCTATGCCTTGCTTATTTCACTGTGTATTCTGTGGACTACACCACAGCAGGAGGGAGACACCACAGTTCTCAGCCTCCACTGTGTAGAAGCTTTCTTTACTCAACCAAGTTCCCCGTTGGTAGATGCTTAAGTAATCTTGTGTGTCTAACTTTCCTTTTTTCTCTTTTGATTTTTGTTTTTATTTTACTCATCTATTTATTTATTGAGACAGTCTTGCTATGTAGCCTAGCCTAGCCTTGAACTTACAATCTTTCTGCCTCAGCCTCTTGAGGCAGGAAGTAGCTCCCAGCCCCAGCTACTGAGATGTGTCTGGTCCTGGAATTGCAAGAATGTGCCACCTTGTCCAGCCAACTTTTCATACTTTTGTCATAGATTTTGTTGTTGTTGTCTTACTTTGAGACAGGGTCTCACTATGTAGCCCAGGCTACCCCCAAATTTGTGATCCTCCTGCCTCAGCCTCACCAGGGACTCCGGGCTCAGGTTGGTTCACTCCTTGCTGCCACTGGGGCTGGAAGGCAGAGATTTACTGGTTCCCACGAGATACCAAAACTTCCCTGGTTTCTGCCCTTTCACAGACAGCCCAGGTACAGCGCAGTGCAGCGCACAGAGCTGAGGACTCACTCCCATCCCCAGCTAACTGAGACCGTCTGGCCCGTGTTTCCTTGTAGCTTTGGCTACAGAGTCTATCTTCATTTCTGTGATCTAGATATTTCTCTTTAAGGATTTTGACTTCAGCTATCTGCTATTTTTTTTCAAGTCATTTAATGCAGCATTTCTTGTTTCTTGCCTTCGTTTTTTTTTTTTTTTTTTTTTTTTTGGTGGTACTAGGGTTTGAACTCAGGGCCTCATGCTTGCTAGGCAGGCACTCTGCCACTTGAGCCACTCTGCCAGCCTTTTATTTCATTTTGGATTGAGCCCAGGTCCTTGAGCCTGCTAGGCACATGCTGTACTGCTGAGCTACACCTGAAGGACCTTGCAGTGTTTTCTTATGTATTGGGAGGTGAGGTGGGTGGGGGAGAGGGCAGGAGGCAAATTCCACACGTCTGTTTAAGCATACCATCTCTGATTGGAAGTCAATGTTAGGCCCTCTGTTTTCCCTAAAGGAATCAAAATTCATTTTCTTATTGCTTACCTTTTGTCAAGCTTGTACCTCCACTAGAGAAAGAAAATTCTTCCTAGAAGCATTTTTTGCTTCAAATCAGAGGTGTGTTGAGAGTTAAATATTCTAAGGTAATGGAAGTAAGTGGGCAGCATGAAAAAACGGAGTTTTTATAAGTAATCTATCTGTTCTACTGCACGCCACTGTTCATTGCCTTGATTCATAGCTTTCTCACAGTGTTCTTATATATGGAGGATTTAATTTGTTTTTCATTTTTTGTTTTCATCATGCTGAGGATCTAACCCAGGGCCTTTTGCCATGCGAGGCTACCACTGAGCTACTCCCCCCAGCACTCATATGGAATTTTTTGTTTTTAAAAAGTCTAATTAACTTTTCTTTTGAATTTAGAATCAGGCAACAGTTCATTCCATAAAATAGAATAAGTGTTCCCTTGCACAGGGGGTTTTTAGAGCCAGGCACATTTATAACTAGCACCCCAGGAAAAGCTTTAAATAACCCAAGTAAAAGGTGTGTAAGCATCTAGAATTGTGCTATTGAAAAGCACCCTTCTTAGTTAAAGTAACCCAGGCCCGGGATTGAGAACTGGGAGGAAGAGAGAAAGAGGGCAAAAGAGAGGTGTTGCCACTCCCCCTGCCCTAAGAAGCCAAAGCAGGACAAAGGATGTAAATGTAAGTGGTCGTTGGCAGCTCTTGCCTTGGGACAAGGTGTTAGGAGCAATGCCTTTGAAGTCTACAAACTTCCTCCTGGAGCTTAAGAATCATGGAACCTGTTGAACCTCACAGTCCTTTCTGGGCTCCACCTGTGTATAGCTTCTGACACTGCAGGTATGGGCAAGGAGCAGGAATCTGTGAGCTTACCTTAGCACCCACCCTGCACATCTCATCCATGGTTTTGGACTCAGTTTTACAAGAGCTCCACTGGCAGAGCCTCAACGTCATCACGAGGACCTCATTTAGCAAGAACCTCTGACAAACACTTTTAGTATGAATTTTTTTTTTTTTATTTCATAGAAAATCAAATTTAGCTCTGCTTAAATCCCACAGCTTCTCTTTCCCCTTGTCACCATCATCTTTCCTATTCAGGAAATAAGAAAGAATTCTTTTTATCTCCCTAATCCGAGCTAACTATATTAAGTCAATCTGTCTACTGTTCAGGATATTGACCTGAATTAACCCACAGGTTTTTAAATCTGTACTGCTGAAGATCAAAGCCAGGTATTAGACATGCTAGGCAAGCTCCCTACCACTGAGCCACACCTCCAGCCCAGGATTTCCTTTTTAATCCAGCTTTATCTATAAATAATCCATTCATCAGCAGCAGCAGATCCAGGTCCAGGAGATTAAGAAGAATCTAGTTATTTATGTGAACAGCTGTTCCCTTCTCTGACACCAATACTCGATCACAGGTCCCAACAGGAAATAATGCATTCCAACTTGCCCTTCATGGTCACCTAGCACAGGACCTGGAAAAAGGAGCCACCTGTAGGTGCAGTGGGCCTGTTGTGGTGGGAATGCTTAAGCCCATAGTCAGATCACAGAACTGGGATAACAAGAACGAGCCTGGGAAATGCTCATCACACCTGACATTGAATGGGATGTTGAGTATTTGTTTATCATTTGATTTCCTAGTGTTCATCTAGTCAAGTCCCTTTTCTAGATGAAGACATTGCAGCACAAGGTGACTTGCCTGAATCCAGACAGGTTGGCAGGGCAGTTCCAGGTGTAGGACCCAGACCTCCTGACATTATTATCACCATATCAAAACATGTACCCACCATCACATTTTTCCAGCTCTTGAAGCCTGTCACATCTTCACTGTCTTTCCACTTTATACTTTTTCAGAATCCACCACTTCCATCTCTATGCACCAGTTCCCCTTACCCATGGCTTTTGTTTTGCTTTGTTTTTTCAGCACTAGGGTTTGAACTAAGGACCTCATGCTGGCAGGCAGGTGTTCTTATTACTTGAGCCACTCCGCCAGCCATTTTTTTTTTGTGATGGCAATTTTTTTTTTTCTCCATAAGGACTCCCTAACTATTTGCTCAGGCTGGTTTCAAACTGTGATCCACCTGATCTCTGCCTCCTGAGTAGCTAGGATTACAGGCAAGAGCCACTGGTGCCCATCCCTTTATCCATGGTTTTGTTCTTTACTATTTCAGTTACTGCAGTCAACTACAATCTGAAAATATAAGATGGAGAGTTGATAAGTTTTTAATTGCATGCTATTCTGAACAATATAATGAAACCTCTCCCTGTCCAGCTTTATCTCATCCAGTACTTGAATCATCTCTTTTGCCCATGTATCCATGAGGTATATACCACCTGCTCATTAGTCACATAGCAGTCAACTTAGTTACCAGATCGATTGTTCCGGTATCACAGTATTGAATTTCAAGTAACCCTTTTACTTAACAACAGCCCTAAAGCACTACAGTAAGGATGCTGGCATAGCAGATATATCAGAGATAAGCTGTAAAGTGCCTTCTTTTAATGAAAAGGTAAATTTCCTGACTTAATAAGGAAAAAAATGTATATATAGGGTTCAATGCTATCTGTGGTTTTAGGCACCACTGGGGGTGGAGGGGAATGTATACCTTCATACAGAGGTGGGGTGAGGACGGGGTTAGTATACATGAAAATGCTTTTATTGAGTGGGAATCCAAAAGACCTCCAGTGACATTAGTATAACCATCATGGATGGCAAGAATGTGGCTGGAGGAGTGGCTCAAGTGTTCAAACTCAAGTACTGCCACCCTCCCCAAAAAAAAAACGAATGGCAAGAATGAAGATGGGGTGGGATGGGAAGGGGGAAAAGCTCTGTGGCTAACAGTAAGACAAATACTTCCTGCAGGCATCAGTGGGTAGTGCTGTCCGCACCATCTTGTCCCCACATGCACAGTGGGAGAGGGTCTGGGTCCCATCTTTCCCTGCCCCCACCCTAGGGCAGGGAGTCCCAGCTCATAGGCTTGCATCTGCACCTGTGTCCAAGCCTTCAAGGCGGCGGTTCTGATCCAGAGATGGTACCGGCGCTATGTGGCTCGCCTGGAGATGAGGCGGCGATGCACCTGGAGCATCTTCCAGTCAATAGAGTATGCTGGCCAGCAGGACCAGGTCAAGGTATGTGGGGAGGGGCAGGGCACCTCCAACTCTGCCTTCTAGCCCTTGGGCAAGGCCTATATGCTCAGAAGGTGCAACTGGTCTGGACCACTCCTGGGCTTTCTTTCCCCTCATTTCTAAAGCCAGTCTCATCTGGTTCTTCTGCAGCTCCATGATTTCTTCAGCTACCTCATGGACCACTTCACCCCCAGCAGCCACAATGAAGTGAGTAGGGACTACCATATGGTACATCCTCCTGCCTCGGGGTCTAAAAGGCAGAAAGGGGAAAGCATCGTGATTCTGGTGAAAGCTAGGGAATGAGTGTGTGCGTGTGTGTGTGTGTAGGGGGGTGAATAACAGTGAAATTTTATTCTGAGTTCTCTCCAAAACATATCTGGAAACAAGAGTTTGTGTGCAAGGAGTTTATTTGTTAGGTGCAGGAAACACTGGTGGTGGGATTCAGGAAAGGGGAGGCAGCCAACAAAGAGTAGGGTAGTCACCCAGCAACTCGGGAGTTCCTGTGAAATAGCGCACAAAGGAAGCCTTGGAACGATCCCAGCTGCAGGCAGAGGGAGCTGGCATCTTTATGTTAGCTCTTCGGTCATTAGTTGAACGCTGCTGAAGGGTTGTTGATTCCACAGCCTTTCGGACTTGCTCATGCTCCACTGTCCAGGAACGCAGCCGTTGGGCTAGAGAGCCTGAGGCTGACAGTGTGAGGATGCTCAGGGCCTCGTATGTCCTGAATCTCTGCTGCCTCACTGGGTGCACCTTGAATGCCTGTGAACCCTTCCCACCTTGGCTTTGTCCTTTCTTCCTCCTTACAAGCCCAGGCCTCTACATTTCTGTCTCTTCTCACTCTGACAGTGTTGATCTTTTTTAAAGTCAAAGATCAGATACTGGCCGTGCCCTGATGACTCACACCTGTAATCCTAGCTACTTGGGAGGTTGAGACTGGGAGGATCACAGTTCGAGACCAGCCCCACAAATAGTTTGTGAAACCCCCCCCCCCGCCCCGTCTCCAAAATAACCAGAGCAAAATGGGCTGGAGGTGTAGCTCAAGTGGTAGAATACTTGCTTTGTAAGGGTGAAGCCCTGAATTCAACTCCCCTGAACCAAAAAAAAAAGGAGAGCAGATTTCAGCTAATGTTTTTATTCACATAAAACATAACCCTTTCCTCTTGTCCAACCTACCTGTTCTCATTTCCTTTAAACTTGTCTTTTGCATCTCCTGGGCTGGAGCTGATGCCACAATGGCCAGATCCCATTTCAATTACAGTCCAGGGAAGACTGCACTGAACTACCCCCGAACCTCGTGTCTGACCATAACCTGACCCACCTTTTCTATCCGGACTAGGGGGCTTCCTGAACCGAATGTTCACTGAGGAGACATTCCCGCTGGATGCTGAGATGGAGAGGCACAGTGACTATGAATCCATAGAAGTGCCAGACAATTACACAGGGCCACGCCTCTCCTTCCCACTTCTTCCTGATCATGCAACTTCCCTGGTGGAAGCTTTCAGACTGAAACAAGTACGCTTACCTGGGAGCCAGGTTCCCACCAACTCTGTCTTGTGTGCACAGGAAAATGGTCCTGGATTTAGGGTGTTCCTGCCATGAATCAACTAGAGATGGCACTTGCCCTTTGCTAGGCCAGTTATTATGATTGAAAGCTTCTCCTAATCATATGATCTCTCTTTTCATTCATATTGCAGATAATTATTGAGTGTACCCTACACTATTCTGGGCAGGGGGACACAACGGACACAAATCCCTGACGTTATGTGGCTGACATTCTAGTGGGGGCGGCCAACAACAAATAAATAAATAAAAAACACCTTAGACTTTGGCTTCTGATCCAAGGTCAAGCTTGGGCTGCTCCTAAGCTATAGGCAAGGAAGGGTTTTGTAGAGTAAAAAGAAAGAGGAAATGAGTTCAGTATTTTTCAGGAGGGACAAATGGGGATGATGAAAAGCAAGAACAAAGATGGAATGTGGGTGAAAAAGAAATGATCTTTGAAGAGTATGGGGAGCAGTTTACTGAAGTTACTTTTGGGGTCTTAGATGATAGAATCCTTAAGCAACAGAGGTAAGGCCAGCAGTATCATCTTGTTCCCTTTCTCCTCTTCCTCCTAGCAGCAGCTTCATGCTCGTTATGTCTTGAATCTTTTGTATGAGACCAAGAAACACCTGGCACAACTGCCAAACATCAACCGGATCTCAACCTGTTACATCGAGGAGATCACAGTGTGTGGTAAGAGCTGGTAGGGATGGCTTCCCTTGCTAGATACAAACTAGAAAACTCTTCCAGGAGGAAGGACCAGTTGGGAGGTATAGATGGCAATAAGTAGGTCAAAGTGCACACCCTGAAACTGACCATTTACATATTTGCCCCACATTTTCTTAAAGGAGAGTGGTTCTGAGGAGAGCCTTGGAGCAGGAGGCTCAACTTCTGCTCTGTTTTCCCAAGCAATTCGTATTGAATCCCCACTCAGAACAAAATTCCTGCAAATAACCAGACCCTCCTTATTAGCAAGCAATGTACTTATTGGCACCCAAGCAAGCCCCAATGCCTAGAATCTTATTTCTTCCATTCACATACATTCCTCTGGCAGAAAGAAGTCCTGTTAGCCACTTTCTTCAGCTCCCTAGCTTTTGCAGATGTTCAGCATTCATGTAGATGAATGCCCCTTCCTTCAGCGAGGGAGAGTGTCACATACCAGGGGTTGTGAACTGGCATGACAAGGGCACATGCAGCCTGCAGACGTGTCCTTTTTGACCTACAGTGATTTTAAACTTTTAAATCAGTGTTCCAACACTCAAAAATTTCATAAGGTCTAAACTTTGCAATTTCTCTTCAAAAATCTCATAGCACTGGCCAGAAATGAATGGCAGCTTCCTACTTACACTGTGGCAAACTCTCCAGTTCCCATCTGGGTTGTGACCTTGCATTGCTCTGTCCTGTCTTTACTTCAATAAAACTGTAGATCATATTCTACATGATAATCAGGCAGAAAAAACTGTTTTCTGATTTCAATATTAACTATCTCTGCAATACAGGAAAATTAATATTTATCCCTATCTCACATATGGAAAAATCAGTAGCTGTCAGTTTCTTAATCTTATCAGACTTTTCTGGGTTCAGTATTCTTCTTTTCTACAGTAAAAATTAGAAACAACTGTAAAGGTCAGTCAGAACTGATATTCTTTTTCTTTGTTAGGAGATTTACATGGCCAGTTGGATGACTTAATATTTATATTTTATAAGGTATGAACGTTCAAATTAAGTTCCTTTCTTTCTCTGAGGCTTAATTTACAAGTTCAAATACAGTGTGTATTAAATAAATGCTTTAGTATTGTTTGGAGTTTTTAAAATTTATTTGAATTTTTACAGTACTGGGGCTTGAGCTCAGGGCCTACACCTTGAGCCACTCTACCAGCCCTTTTTGTGAAGGGTTTTTTCAAGATAGGGTCTCACTAACTATTTACCTGGGCTGGCTTTGAACTGTGATCCTCCTGATCTCTGCTTCCTGAGTAGCTAGGATTATAGGTATGAGCCACTGGCACCTGGCTTGCTTGGAGCTTTAAAATATTATTTTAAATAGCGTTTGCTTCTATGCAGCAAATACTTGGGCTTGTGTGTGTGTGTGTGTGTGTGTGTGTGTGTGCCTGTGTGCTTGTGTGTGTGTGTGTGTGTGTGTGTGACTGGAGTTTGAATTCAGGGCTTCATGCTTCTCTGCAGCAAATACATGATATAAAAGTTAGCATTAGGACTGGAGGCATGGCTCAAGCAGCAGAGCACCTGCTTTGTAAATATGAAGGCCCGAGTTCATCTTCACCATTTTTTTTTTTTGGCAGTACTGGGGTTTGAACTCAGGGCCTTGTGCTTGCCAGGCAGGCGCTCTGCCACTTGAGTCATGTCCCAGCCTCCGAAGCCCTGAATTCAAACCCAAGTCCCACAAAAAAAGTAAAAAGATTACAAATAAAAGTCAATATTGCATTATATTCAAGCATATTTTTGTAAACTGTTTAACAAATACAAATGTTAGTTAAATTAATAGAAGCATCATTTATCAATTGATTTTCTTTTTTCTAGATAAAGAAAATTGGTTATTAACAAAGCAGCCAGAAGCTATTTTCATATCTATTTTAGCTGTAAATGTAGAATATATAACAAAGTGTATGAATAGAATAATATTTTATTAATGTAATATTACTTTATATGTGCACTAAACTTGCCAAAGCATTTCCTGAAGGACTCTATACCATCCATCACCACCATCATCATCACCGTCATTATCATGATGTGGTGGGAACTTAAAGCTGGCTTTCAGATCATGAGTCTGGTGCCCTTTGCTCCCCACCACATGGCAACACTGTCTTTGTATAAAGAGTATGTTCTGGTGAGCATCCTATAACCTCAGTCTCACTGGGAATGAAATATTACACCCTAGAAATTGTTTCCATCTTTTACTGACATTTCACATTTGAAAGAACCCAGAAAGCACAGAATTGGCTATAGACCTGACGGGATGGTCAGATGCCCATTGGCTTTAACCTGATTTTTTTCTTCCTCTTCTCTCACTGGGATCTTCTTGGACTCATCTCTGCGTTGGGCAGAATGGCCTCCCGTCACCAGAGCGGGCATATGTGTTCAATGGTGACTTTGTGGATCGAGGCAAGGATTCAGTAGAGATCCTGATGGTTCTTTTTGCCTTCATGTTGGTTTACCCAAAAGAGTTTCATCTTAACAGAGGAAACCATGAGGACCATATGGTGAACTTACGGTACAAGCCCAAACCTGCTTGGGTATTTGATGCTTACCTGTTGCAATTGTGAAAAAAATTATTTCATCAGAGTTTCTTCTTTTAGATGCAATTTAAAAGTAATTTTCTAATTTCTGAAACTAGAATAAGCAGCATATAATATTTTGAAAGGTTTTAAAATTTTATATATGTTATTCTATCCTAATAAGGCCATTAATTTTTTTTTCACACATTCATACTCTCTATTCTGTAAACAACAAGGATTCACCATAGAAAAAGTGGGAAACATGGGGCTGGGGCATGGCTCAGATGATAGAGCACTTGCCTAGTATGCACGAGGCCCTGGGTTCAATACCTAGTACAAGGGAGTGGGAGAGAAAGAGAGAGAGGGAGGAAAAATAAAAAGAACAAGTGGAAAATATGGATAAAGAAAAGGAAGAAAGAAAATTGAAATATCTCATTTTTTCTCTACCCATAAATAATGTTATAATTGTAAACTGTTTAGGGATTTTTCTTCAATCTCTTTTAAATATTTTAAGTACATATATCTAGAATATGAATTTTAAGAAAAATATTATCATGTCCTAACTCTTGTCACTAAATTTGTTTTAATATCTATTTTTGCTTCTATATCTAGATATGGCTTTACCAAGGAAGTGATGCATAAATATAAGGTAAGCTGCCTTTACAAACAAAAGTTTCTCTTAGTTCAGATGAGTTGAGTGAGTTGTTTGATGCCTAACATCTTAATATTATTTTCAGACACATGGAAAGAAAATATTAAGAACTCTTCAAGATGTATTCTGTTGGCTTCCGCTGGCCACTCTGGTTGATGAAAAAGTCCTGATTCTTCATGGTGGGGTGTCAGACAGGACTGACCTGGAGCTTTTGGCTAAACTAGATAGGCACAAGGTACTAATTAATGAAATAATACACAGCTAACTTTAATGTCCTGGTTCACTGCTAACATAAAATAAATGTCATCTTGCATGTGACCCTTGTTGACTGGAAGAGTATAGAGAAAGGTTGAGAATCCACAACTGGGCTCAGGGAGCAAGTGTGCTATAATTGTTTAGTAATGTCTACCATAAGCGTGCAAGAGGGGAGTGGCAGCTAGTGCTATGTATTTGCCATCTCTAATCTAGATAATTTTAATCACTACCCCTCTATCACTGTCACTTGAAAAACCTCCATTTCCCAAGTAATTCCTGGTGTCTTTAATCAAGCTCAACACGTGCATATTTAGTACCTTCCACATTCGAGGGAGTGGGGAATACTAGGCAGATACAAAGATAGAGACTAATTTCAAATAAACTCAACAAAAATGTTTTGGGCGCTCACCATGCACAAAGAAAATTTTAGGGAAAATAGGAAGATGAACTGGAGACAGTGCCTGTCCTGAAAGAACTTACAATAACATGTGTGTGTTGGAAGCGGGGAGTGGGAGAGGAGGTGGAGAGTGGGAGAAGGACTGTATTACATTCTACTAGCAACAAGTTTGGAAGTAGAAACCTAAAAAAGCAAAGGTTTTATTTTCTCTTAATAATAGACTCTTATCTATTATCTAGTGGCACCTTATGCACCTGCACCCCAACTGCCTGTCCCACGTAGGAACCTTTGCTACACCATCCTTGATGACATTTTCCTGACAGTTCCAAACAGGAGGAGCGCATCACCATAAGAGCCAGGGTACCCCAACTTTGGGCAACTCTAATGGATATGAAAGTCTGTATATATGAGGTGTACATGACAGAGCATGGATTTAGAGTCAGTCTGGGTTTGAGTCTGGGAACAGCCAGTTACTGGCTGGGATAGCAGTTTTGTTCTGTGAAGTTATCCAGAGAGCCAGGCTTCTCTGTCTTGCTTCCCATCCTAGGGAGTCGTCCCCACACCTTCATCTGTGTCACAACACAACATGCTACTACACCCACGTTCCAGGCAATAGGGGAGGGGGAGAAGGGGAACGAGAGCTGTCCTGGTCTTCAAGGACACAATATAGAACTTGCGCACCTCTCCACTCTCACCGCCTTGCTCAGAATGTGGTCTGCTGCTCCCTAGAAGAGAGGCCGAAAATGAAGTCTTTTTATGGTTGGCCATGTGTCAAGCAAAAAATTGGGGTTTCCACTCCTATGAGAGAGAAGAAGGAAATGGAATTGGGAGAATATTCTTTGCCACAAAGATATTTAATATCTTTGTGCATGGTTAAACCATGGCCTATGAAGTCAGACAGAAATTGGTAAAAATTCTGATTCGGTTGCCTATAGTTCATTGACCTTGGACAAGTTATCTAACTTACTGAAATCTTAGATTTACATCTGTGTAATAGGGATATGAGTAAATATATCACAGGTGCGATGAAGATTAAGTGAACATATATGTGCCTTACAAAAGTGGGAATTATATTTACACTTGACTGAAGTAGAAATTGTATTTATAATTTGGCCAAGCAGAAATTGTATTCATATTTGGCTGATGTAAAAGAAAACTCCAAATAACAGTGGTTTAAAATATTTATATCTTTTTCATGTAAATAAAGGTTGGAGGCAAGCAGTCCAGGGCTGGTAGAGTGACACCACAAAGTCATAGGGACTCAGACTTCAAAGCTTGCTCATCTACCATGCTGCATCATGATCCAGATTGTTGTTTGAGTTCCAAGCCATCACCACCACATTCTAGAGAGCAGAAATTAAAGAGTAGAAGAGAGGCGTGTTCTTTCCTTTTATGGACATCCAGTTGTACACAAAAGTTCTCTTTCTATCTAATTGATCAGAATTTAATCAAATGACTACATTTAGCTGAAAGGGAAATTTGCAAGTATAATCTTCATTTCAGGTTGTTATGTGCCCAAGTAAGTATCATGGATTCTATCCATAAGTAGGAAGGGTAGACAGATATTAAGACATATAGAGGGTAGGGCAGCAACACTCTAACTTAGTTTGACTCTTTGTCTCCCCAAATTTTGATGTACACTCTTCTTCTCACACATAGAACCAGGCTTATTCTCTCCCAAAGGAAGACTGCATTCAAGGCTCACCAAGCAGCCACCTCAAAGTTCAAGAAGGTCGCAGGTCCTATCTATCAGGTCTGGACATGGCTCCATGTGGTTTGTGACTAAAAGATAAGTTCCATGTCCCTGTACACCCAAACTTAATGTTTGGAGAGGAAAAGGATTAAAGGATAACTCTTTGGCAGAGGTGGAGATAGGGAGGTCTGTAATAGTCAATGGCTTCCTCTAGAAATCCTCCTGACAAAACTCCTCTCTACTTCTGTGTAAAAGTAGAGAATATGAAAGAATCTTTCCTATTCTTTTTTTTGATGGTACTGGGGTTTGAACTCAGGATCTCATACTTGCTAGGCAGCCGTTCTATCACTTGAGTTGTGTTGGTTATTTTCAAGATATGGTCTCATGAATTATTTGCCCGGGCTGGCTTTGAACCATGATCCTTCTGATCTTTGCCTTCTGAGTAGTTAGGCATATAGGTGTGAGCCACTGGCCCCTGGCGCCTTTCATGTTTATGAAGAGAACATGGAGCCCAAGGGACCGAAAACCAGTTCTTAGTATTTCCTTTGTTAATTCTATATTAACAAATGTTAATACTACTATAGAGCCTACTTTTTTTCAACTTTCATATCTATTATATCCTGGTTTCTTGCAGACTTTCAGTTCATATATTCTATTCAGCTGCATCTCCATTAGGAGGCAGGGACAGCAAGTCACAGAAGAGCAGATTATCTCATGAGAAGAATCCTATTGAATCATGAAAACATACAAGTAGGAGGAACTTTAGAAAGAGTACTAAAGAATAATTTATTATCTAAGACTTAGCAAAAATTAGCTTCCTAATACTTGATTTTCAAAGCTGTGGAGAGGGTGATGAAGCAAGTTGTGCAGTCTAGGAGCACTTGGGCGGGAAGTGCAGAGAAGCATGGGCTCCAGAGTCAGACTAGCTGGATTCAGTCCTGGAAGAGTCTTAGCTTTCTTATCTGCACTATAAATGATGGTGCTATCTCATAGGGGTGATATGAAGGTTAATAAGTTAATTTATGTGAAGTGCTCAGAATAGCACCTATTTGGGAAGGGCTCAATACAACCCATCAGTCTTCTTAAGAATCAAAGCTGGGGATACTTAGGTTATTCAGTTAACATCCTTACAGCTACCCAAGCATTGAAAGGGGTGGGACTGGAGGACTGGCCTTCACTCTGAGTTGGTAGTAGGGTGAGGGGAGGTGCTGTTGCCTGGTCTTCCTTTGTCTATGGCCAAGACTGGAACTTCCTTGGAGTGACTAGCCCTTGTCCACTGTCAGAGAAGAGCCTCTGTTCTGTTCTATGTAATATGGACTCCTCTTCCAGCCTCGTTCAGTTCCACTGACCCACGTTTTCTATGCTCTTGTCTTAGGCCAAGTCTACACTGGGTTGTGACTTTCATGTACTATAGACCTTAGATCTATTTGCAGAAGGGTCTCACTCTTTGAGTATGTGCTCACAGAATTCCCTTCATGAACTAGACCTTTGTCATTGATGTCCTTATGGAGGTTGCCTCCTTCAGTTTTCACCATAGCCCTCAGGCATCCCAGGAATGGTTGTTCTTTCTTTTTATTCAATGCCACACTGTGCTCCATAGTCTGATCCTGTCTTTCCTCTGATCAAAATTCATTCTACTTGTGTCCTCTACCTTTTTTTTTTTTTTTTTTTTTGGTACTGGGAATTGAATACAGGGCCTCGTGATTGCTAGGCAAGTGCTCTACCACTTGAGCCACACTCCCAGCCCATTTTTTTGCTTTTAGTTTTTTTTTTTTTTTTCAGATAGAGTCTCGTATATCATGCTTTTGCCTAGGCTGGCCTCAGACCATGATCCCCCTACTTCTTCCTCCCAAGTAACTGAGATTATAGGCATGTGCCATCATACCTGGCTCCTCTATATTCTTGACCTGATCCCAGCTCTATGATGGCTGTCAGTCAGTGAGAGGGTCTATACTCAATTTCTTTTGGAAAAAGAGTATTTATCTGCTTTGGTACAGGCTGAAAAACAGCCCCTTCCCCACTTTATACTATCCTTCCTCAACAGGCAAAATAATAGGTACAATAGCTTTTCCTGTAAAATGTCATTAAGAGGTGTCTCTCCCACACTGAGAATCTGGTTTTTCCTTTTCTTATTTTTCTGCCAATACAGTACTCCTTTTTATCTACTAGGGATACATTGTAAGATGCCAGAAACCACAGATGACACCAAACCCTGTACATATTGGGCTTTTTCCCATGTACCCTGCAGCATTGCCACATAGTACCAGAGTTAATCTGACCTTCTGTGGTCTATGCCCTGGCACCTCCTTTGCATCACCACTCTTATACTTTGTGAACATTAAGTAGAATAAGGGTTACTTGAACACCAACACTGTGATATTGTGGTAAGGCATCTGATAACCCAGACTAAGCGATCAACAGTCGGGTAGCATATATGGCTTGGATATGCTGGACAATGGGAGGATTCATGTCTCAGGCGGGATGGAGTGGGATGGCATGAAATTTCATCATGCTACTCAGAATAGCATATAATTTTTTAATTTATTATTGTTTATTTCTGGAAGTTTCCATTTAGTATTTTTGGACCACAGATGACTACAGGTATCTGAAATTCTGGAAAGTGAAACCATAGATGGTATCACAGGGAGACTTTCTTCTTTTTTGTTTTATCATCTGTGGAACAATAGGAAAGAATCAAAGCTTGACTTTCTGAGAGAGAGAGAGAGTGAGAGAGCGAGAGAGAGAGAGACAGCTACCCTTTCCTATCCTCCTCTAAAAAAACCACTAGGTACCTAGAGAGAAAATGATGACCTAGGTTAGAGTTTCTCAACTTCTCTGGTAAAGGGTCAGGTTTTATAATTTCACAATCTGTCACAGATCTTTACTTTTGTAAAATACAATGAATATGAATTATTTAAAAATGAAACATAAGTAAAAAATATGAGCCCACTGATTATGTGTTTGAATGTCACGGAAATTTCAAATTGTTATGAAAGTTTCTAAGGCTCTCTCTCAAGGTCTGCATTTGTCTCCTCCAAAGCTAGGAGCAAGCAGTGCACAGACCAGTACTTGGCCATGGACCCCAGTGTTTGGGATTGACTTGGATGTCAGCATGGCACTCAGAAAGAGCCTACCATTCATTCCAGCATCTCTATCTTTTTGCACATGTTTAGATTGTTTCTACCATGAGGTGCAAACTGAGAAAGGAAAGTGAGAAACAGGTGGAGGAGAAGAGAAAAGCCAACCAGACCCACTCTGCACAGAAACCCATCCCATGGTTTCTGCCCCAAAGCCGCTCTCTCCCCTCTTCGCCTTTTCACCTCAGTTCGGTCACCAAGGCCCACAAGGCCAGCCGCTCCTCCAGCATCCCCTGCAGCGTCCCTCTTGGCCGGAAGGAGCTGTTGAGGCAGGTGCGTCACTCTGTGGACCTGGAGCTGGAGCGGTGCCGGCAGCAAGCAGGCTTCCCAGTGATCGGGGAGAGGGAGGAGTCCTTGCCCTTGGCGTCAGAGGGGGACCGTGACGCTGAAGAGCTGCCAGAGCCCACTCAGGAGGAGTGGAGGCAGGTGAGTATGACCAGATGCTGCTTCCTAGTATTTGGCTGCCATCAGGAGGGACCAACTGCCTCCTTCCATTAAATTCAGGGAATATTTTAGGGCCCCTCTTCATCACTCTCTCTGGGTTTAGAATGCCTCAGGACATTAGTACTTATCTAATGATTCACGTTTTCGATTTTTAGAAAGGATGGGAAGAGGCTGTGGGCAGGCTCTGTTGCTTGAGAATCCTTGGTTTAGCCACCTAGTGTCAATGGGTAAGAAGGTGAGCTATAATTTATTAGGAACATTGTGTGCTATTTTGTATGTCTAAGCAAGATGGCTGCTGAAGCTGAAGGCCAGAAGGGTAGTCAGCAGCTTCCCCCAATCTCTGGCTGCAAGGAACCCTGGGAAAGAGGGTAAAGAAGGAGGAGAATGGATGTTGCATAGATGCTCCTCTATTTGGCACAGTGCTTCCCAAAACAGAGGACTCAGGAGGGCACATTTCACAGGACAAGACTGGCAGGGAGGTGCCTTGAAAGACTGTTGTAGTAATAGGGATGGGTGATGATGAAGGAGAGCCCATGCAGTTGTGCTCTAGACTACATGAATTTGCTAGGGTTCAGTCGTTTTTCACCTCCAAGAATGGTGATTTCATATGGTTCATCCAATAAGGAAAAGAATTCAGATTGTTTGAAGAGCTAAAATTAGTAGAATTCGCAGATTGAATGGGTGGAGGATGGTGAGAAAGAGGAAGAATTGCGGCCTACTCTGAAGTTTTATATATATATGTATATATATAAATATATACACATATATGTGTGAGAGAGAGAGAGAGGGAGAGAGAGAGAGATTAGCGTACATTCTCCCAAAGTTATCAATCTGGTTTCAATACCACTTTAGAATTTAAAAATGTTTAGTTCTGATCTCTCCTTTGCAAAACATGACTGAGTAACAATGTGCTGATATTTATAAATCAAACAAGGTTTTCTCCCCCTTAAAAGTACATTCAGAAAGTATGTTGGAGTCAACAACCAATATATACAGTTCTTTCATCTGAGTCACATAAAACTGGCAACCTGTGTCTTCCTAAGTATTAACAATAGGGTAGAAGCTATGCTTCTGGAAAAAATGATCAGCTCTTCTGCAAATTCTTTTTTAAATTCTTAAATTACTTTAAGGAAAAAATATTGGCTATATGTTGACAGGACCACAACTGGGTGTTGTGAATGCTGCTGGAGAGACTCTTCTGTCATTTCCATACAGGGTCAAGCCTATAATCCAAGCTACTTGGGAGGTAGAAATTGGGAGGATTGTGATTTGAGACCAGCCTGGGTAATAAGTTTGTGAGACCCCCACCTCAACCAATGGCCGGGTACAATGGTGCACATCTGTCACCCTAACTATGTGGGCAAGCACAAGTTTGGATTTGTCTCAAAGATAAGCAACACAAAAGGTGCTAGCAGAGTGGCTCAAGTGATAGAGTGCCTGCCTAGCAAGCATGAAACCAGGAGTTCAAACCCCAGTAGTGTCAAAAAATTAATAATAATAATAATAATAATGATAAGGCCTTAAGGGTATAAATCCATGTCAAAAGTTGAATGTATGGAAATTTATTCACTTATTTTTACTCAAATACTTTCCTCCTCCTCTCCTTCCTCTTTTCATGTGAGAGACTCTGAACAAGTATCTGTCTTGGTCTGACCAGGTGGTAGACATCCTGTGGAGTGATCCCATGGCTCAGGAGGGCTGCAAGGCCAACACTATTCGAGGAGGAGGCTGTTATTTTGGGCCTGATGTAACAGAACATTTGCTACAGAAGTACAAACTGCAATTTCTGATCCGTTCACATGAATGCAAACCTGAAGGCTATGAATTCTGCCACAACCGCAAGGTGGGTGGAGCTTCCACACCAATACTGGTTTGTGTGTCACAAAAGTGGCCCAAAGAGCTCCCCTCAGGTCTGGCTGAGCTAAAGCTCTTGGTTTCTACCAACCAACTGTGCCTAATATTGGTTACACACTTGCTCAAACCAGCTAGGTCCTCTATAATCCTTTGATTTTCATAGCCCCTTTAAAATTTGACTGAGACCACTGCTCACCAATACGCTGAGGGCAAGGGACAGATGTGGCACCATTTTATTGATGGAAATATGAGGCCAGTGTTTTCCCAGCCACATCTTTAAGTCACATGGCTTGCTGTCCCATGTCTCAAACAACTCTACGGGTAGCTGGTTTTCTGCACTGTTCCAGGCAGGAATTCAGGATCGTTTGTCTTCTCAGAAGCACAATTAGTGTTCTGGCTAATCTTTGAGCATCTCCAAATTCTGCAGTATGTGTCTAGCTTATACCACTATGATAGTACACTGTCTCCATAGGAGAGTAATGGGTTTGCATTCAACTAATGAAAGAAATGTTTGGTTAAATGGTTATACAAGTTTCCTTGTGAGAACATTTTATCCCCTAGATTCATTGTAAATCTCCAGGAAGATTCAGTGTCTTCCAATGCATTGACAATAGAAACTTTTCTGAGACTCCCAGGTGGCACAAAACTCCAAAGAAAACTGCTTTGAGGGAGTTTGTCAACTTTAAGAACTTTTTTGTCTGTCAGTTGTAATCGCCATTCCAACTCACAAGACCCAACCTGCCTCTAAGTCAACCAAATGAGGTGTTTTTTTTTTTTTTTTGGGGGGGTGGGATAAGATGTGAAAACATGGGTGTGGATATCTTATCAGTGTCTGTGACTTGAGTCACAATTCCCTAATAGCACTGATGACTTAAAAAACAAAGAGGGCTGGGGATGTGGTTCAAGTGGTAGAATTTAAACCTCAGTACTGCAGAAGGAAAGAAGGAAGAAGGGAGGGAGAGAAGGAATAGTGAAGGAAGGAGGGAAGGAAGAGAGAGGGAAGAAGGGAGGGAGGGAGGGAAGGAGAGAGAGAGGGAGAGAAGAAGGAAGGAGGGGATGAAGGAAGGGGGAAGGAAGGAAAGAAAGGAGAGAGGAAGGAAGGAAGGAGGGAAGAGGAAAGAAGGAAAGAAAGAGAGAGGGAGGGAGGAGGGAAGAGGAAGGAAAAAGATCCACAGATGGGTGTAAGGAGGACCATCACCCTTTGACATTAGGTTGGCAATATGAGATTGAGGATGAAATGTTCTTCCATGAGCATGAATGCTGTCTCTCTTCTGTTTGATTCAGGTATTAACCATCTTTTCTGCCTCCAACTATTATGAAGTTGGCAGCAACAGAGGGGCCTACGTCAAACTGGGGCCAGCACTGAGCCCCCATATTGTGCAATATCAAGCTAACAAGGCAACCCACATGCTAACCATGAGGCAAAGGCAAGACTTTTCAATGAGTGGTTTTCAGAAAAAAATATTGTAGCACTTTATAGAACTTCTGAGGTATCAGATACCATTTAATTTATCCAAATTCTGTGTAAGAATTTAGCATTTAGCTATATCAGCATTAACATCTAGAATGGATAATCCAGAGCTCTTATATTGGTCTGTTTTTGTTATTCTAGTGAAATACTCAAGTCAAGCTATTTATGAAGAAAAGAAATTTATTCAGCACAGAGTTTTGAAAATCCAAGCCCCATTGGTTTGGATTCTGGTGAGGGCCTGATAACACATGACATCATGGCAGGAGTGACTATTAGATGGCAAGATCACATCCTGAAACAGGAAGCCAGATTGAGGGATGGGCCAGGTGCCCCTGTATAACAACTCTCTCACAAGAACTAAATCCGGGGTCCCACAAGAACTACCTAAAGCCCATTGGGAGCACACCCCAACCTAAGAACCTTGCACTGGGCTCAACCCCTGTGAGGTCCCACCACTATATCTGAGGACCAAGCCTATAACACATGAACCTTTATAGAACAAACCACATCCAATCATAGTAGGTCTCTTCCTTCTCCGTATATTCTTAATAGTTCTTCCATCATTCTACCATCACTAATGGGAGCAATAACTTTGTTTCCTGCAAAAATTATTCCCATTGGGTGCATGTTAGGTGAAGTCCACATTATCAGGTCACCAAGTCTTTCTAAGGTGCCTCTTATATTTTCTCTTGTCCATATAGGGTTTGTGTTACCCCTATAAACCACAACAAAAGTTTCTTTCTCTACCTGGAGATTTGGCAAGGGATTTCAATGAAAAGATGCATTCTTTCAGGGAAGAAAACATATAATATTATTCAAATAGTGTCTGTTGAGAGGATTCTGAGTCCTTTTTTTTTTAAGTATTTATTGGTATATGATAGTTATGCGGGGGGGGGAGGTTGATGTGACATTTCCATATATACATATATTGTACCCCTGTTTGGTTCACCCCCTCCATTATCCCTCACTCTTCTTTCTCTCTCTCTCTCTCTCTTTTTTTTTCCTTTTGGTGCTACTGGGGTTTGAACTTGGGGCTTTGAGCTTACTAAGCAGGTGCTCTACTACTTGAGCCATTCCTTCAACTCATCCCCTTCTTAAAATGACTTCCATATTCATACATGTATAGAAAGTAGTGCAACCATATTCACCCTCCTGTGATTCTGAGTTCTAACCCTACTTGAGAACTTGCCATATGCTACGTGTTTTGAAGAATTTATATATATTGTTTCACAATCAGCTTATGAAATAGATGTTATTGTTAATTTCAGGTTGATAGATAAGATCACTAAGGAACAGAGTTTAACTCTGTACCTGGCCTGTAGGAAAGGTAGACAGTCTTGTCCTGGGCAGTCTTATTTCAGAACCTGTGTGTTCAATGACTACTCAATATTGCCTCCTACAGAGAAGAGTGCCTCAGAACATATGAGATGCTAATGATGCGACTTCAGTCTACTGATCAAGCTTTTAATTATTCAGCCTAATTGAATTAAAAATCAAATAGACAAAGTTGGCATAAATCTGTATTTAGCATAGATATTGCAGGAGTACCATAAAAGTGGATTACTTTAAATCACTTTTAGGTTATTAAATACAAGTCAGCCTTACGCAAAAAGAATTGCGTAAAAATTTAAAGTGACCAAGTAAAAATCAACACCTACTGTGGGACTGGGGACATGGTACAAGTGGTAGAGCACTGCAAAAGTCACCCATGGAGCCTTATGAAAAACCAGCCTCACCCATCTCTACCAAATTAGAATCCCCAGGGAGACTCCAGCAGTAGAATGCTATGATTCCCTAGGACTTAGGTGTTGTCCCTACAAAAGAAGCTACTGTAGGGAGTCCTATAAATGGTGAGTTTCAATAAGGTAATAAAAAAGCATCCAGCTCTTTGAAATATTTTTTGATTGCATTAATGAAGTATATCACCTGATTTTTCCCAGAATTTACTTACCCAATGACATCAACTATCTGGAGCCCAGCGGTTAACTTAGTAATAAGGGGAACAGCCTCTGAGCAGCAGCAGTTGACATCAATGTCCACCAACTCTCACTTGCTTTTCGTAGAGGAACCCTTATGCAGAGCCCATTTACTGCTGGCTTAAATCCACTTCTCACAATAACAGAATAGCCCAGCGCAGGCTGTCGAGATGATGGCATAGAGGCATAATTGTCTGTCTCCTTCAGTAGACACAGGGGCACAATCAAGAGAATCTGTGCTTAATGTGCTACTTGACAGAATGAGCATCTCATCCACTCAGATAGCTTTCAAGGGCATTGCCACACTCCATCCCAGCACAACTAGTGATGATGACAATTTACCTGGAAATAGTTTAAAGGCCTTGCCTAATTGGTTCTTAAAGCTTTTTAGGGGTCCCAAACTTCTGTTAGCCTCTGATAAGACAACAAATTCTTTCCATATGCCTATGAAATTGGGAATGAGTTTTAGGTGGTTCACACTTTTTAAAAGGCTTATGGAGCTCATTTATGGACTATTATGTTACATACCTTAAACTGCAATGAACATTTACATTGGACATGATTAAAATGTTAAAAAAACAACTGGGCACTTATAAAGACAGATTAGCTGCTCATTGTTTATAGAACAGCTGGCTCCTCAGTGAGATTAGTTTACAAATAAAGTCCATTTGCTCTTTATCTTCTATAATCTTGCTCTCTCAATTACTAATATTTATTTAGCATCTACTTTACAGCCAAATGCTGTGCAGAGTGTTATTCAATTGACCCAATAAGAATGAGAAAACTGGGCTGGGGCCATAGCTCAGTGATAGAGCACTTGCCTAGTATGCATGAAGTCCTGTGTTTGAGCCCCAGCAGTACCCACAAAAAAGAAAACTAGTCTTTCATAAATCTTGCCTTTGTTTAACATAATAATGAAATACAAGGAGAGCACAAAAATTTGGTATGATAACAAATGCAGTTTGTCGAGTGCTTTCTGAGTGCCAGCTTTCTCATAAGTACTGTACATGAATTTACTTACTTAATCTTTACAATAATCCTTAAGGTAGGTAGGCTTTTCATACCTGTTTTATAGATGGAGAAATCAAGGCATAGGCTGATTAAACAACTTTACCCCAGAGATGATCTTTGTTCAGAATTGGTCCAGTCATTATCCTACACTAGGGATGACAGCATCATTCCAAACTGACCCTATTTCACACAACAGGGGAAAGTAGGGAACAATGGGGAGAAGAAGGAGATAGATCTCTCCCCTCAAAAACTGACCTTGCGAGGTTGAGATATTAAGAAAGGGATGGTGGTACACACCGGGAATCCCAGCTACGTGGGAGGCATAGATAAAAGGATGGCAGTCTGAGGCCAGCCTGGGCAAAAGCATGAGATCCTATTTGAAAAATAACTAAAACAAACAAACAAACAAACCCTTAAAAATGGAAATAGTAGAGTGGCTCAAGTGTTGAGTGTTTGCCTAGCAAGCATGAGGCCCTGAATTCAAACCCCAGTACCTCCAAAAACAAAAAGAAAGAGAGTAAAAATGCAGTAACCCCCCTGACTTCTTTTCTAGTCCCACCTTTAAAATGTTCCATTTTCTCTCCTGTCCCAGGATTAGCAGGGTAGAGGAGTCGGCTCTGAGAGCTCTTCGGGAAAAGTTGTTTGCTCACTCCTCAGCCCTCCTTAGTGAATTTAAGAAGTACGATGCAGATAAAACTGGTAAGAAGAAAGTAAAAGATTCAGAGAGGAAGGAGCCTAGCCAGAAAATCTCTGTCTCACAGCAATTAGCGAATAAATATTTGTTAAATGACTATAAGACCAAAAGTCTAGGCAGGCACCAGTGGCGCACAACTGTAATCCCACCTACTTGGGAGGGTGAGATTGGGAAGATCACGGTTTGAGACCATCTCCAAAATAATCAGGGAAAAGTGGACAGGAGATGTGGCTCAAATGGCAGAGCACCTGTTTCACAAGCATGAAGCCCTCAGTTCAAACCCCAGTCCCACCAAAAAAGAAAAATAGATCAAAAATCTCCTTTCAACTACTTCCTCTGTCTTATGCAATTTCATGTCTCATTTCAGGGGTAAATTTTTAAATTATGTTTTTAACACAACATGAACTTGTCCAAATATAGATGGAGATGTGAAAAGAAATGTAACCAAGGGAAAGCTAACAAGGCCAAAATTAATAAAAAACAAGTGGAGGAAGTTATAAGACTGGGGCTAAGCCAAGTGACAGGGGCCCACACCTGTAATCCCAGCTACTCAGGAGGCAGAGACCAGTAGGATCTCGGTTTGAAGCCAACCCCGGGCAGATAGTTCGAGAGACCCTATCTTGAAAAAACCTTCACAAAAATAGGGCTGATGGAGTGGCTCAAAGTGAAGGCCCTGAGTTCAAGCCCCAGTACCACAAAAAGAAAAAAAAAAGTGTGGCTGAGATTAGCAGAAGATGGAGGACTTGCCTCTTCTTGTGTTATCCAAGCTAAAAATTTTCTCTTTCAACTCAATAGATTATCTAACTGAACTTTGACCAGCTATTGACCTATCAAATACACATATTGTAGGGTTTTTTGGTTTTGTCTTTTGGGGTTGTTATGCTATGCTGGGGATTGAACCCAGGGTTTTGCCATGCTAGACAAGCATTCTACCACTTAGCTGTATCTTCAGCCCTTGGTCTTTTTATCCAGGGTCTTACTATATAGGTCAGAGTGGCCTTGAACTCACTATGTAGCCCAGTCTGTCCTCAAATTCATGATACTCCTGCCTCTGCCTCCCAACTGCTGGGATTACAGATGTGTACCACCATGCCTGGCTTTTGTTTTATTTATTTATTTATTTATGGTGGAGCTAAGGATTGAACCCAGGGCCTCACACAAACTAGGCAGGTGCTCTACCACTGAACTACACCCCCCAGCCCTGATTTTTTTAAATAAACATCCAATGCCGTATACACACAGTGTTTTATGCTATTATTTACAAGCGTCTGATATGGCCTCTAGTCATGTTGCCAGACTGAATAAATAAAAATTTAGGATATCTAATTAAATTTGAATTATAGACAGACAACAAATACTTTTTATGCCATATTTGGCACACTTATACTTTTTTGTCTGTCTAAATTTCAAGTTTAATTGGCAATCCTGTATTGTATCTGGCAAGGTTAGTTTCCAGTAAACTCTGCCATGACCAACAAAAATAGTGACAATGCCCTTCGTTTCTATCATCTGAAGAGAGTATAAATAAGAATACGTGATTAAAAATGCAGGTGCGTGGGGCAGGAAACCAGACTCCTAGGTGACAAGTCAACAGGTCAGCTCTCTCCTGCAGGCTTAATCACCCTGGGTGACTGGGCGGCAGCTGTGGAGTCTGTGCTGCACCTGGGGCTGCCATGGCGGATGCTGAGGCCACAGCTGGTGAACAACTCAACAGATAACATGCTGGGATACCAGTCCTGGTTGGAGGACTTGGCCAAAGAGCGGCTGAGCCGAGAGGTAATGGTGTGATAAATGGCAGATGAGAGCATATTGTAGATTCTGAAACCCCTTAGGGATTCAGAAACAGCCAGTACTTAGAACCCAAAAGGCGGGAGGGATGAGAAGGAACAACTGCTCGTTGCATTTCTATGGGTCAGACTTTGTGTTAAATGGTTTTATGTACATTCCCTCAGTTAATCCTTAAAACCACTCAAAGAGGTAGGTCTGATCAGCTCCACAAGGTCTATGAGAACACCGCCCACAGCAGTTAAGCAATTTCCCTGCAGTCACAGAACTTCCTAGCTGTGATTCAAATTCAGGTCTGGGCTGAGGGTGTAGCTCAGTGGGAAAGTGCTTAGCATGCCAAGGCCAGGGTTCAATCTCCAGCACCAAAACTAAAAAACAAGCGCAGGTTTGCCTGACTTTCAGGCCTGTTTTGCCTCCTCAACATTTGCTACTTCCCCGTTTAAAAAAGTATTTAGTAAACAAATACTTGTTTAATATGTAATACAGGTAAGACCTCGGGTAAAGTACTTTTTAAAAACAGATTCATTGCAGTATAATTCACACAGCATGTAATTTATCTACTCAAGTACACAGTTCAATGGTTTTTAGAATCTGTGAGAGACTGGATCCAGGACTCCTTGCATCAGGTACCAAAATCTGGATGTTCAAATCCCCTACATAAAACGGTATAGGATTTACTTATAACCTACGCACATCCTTCAGTATACTTTAAATCTTCCCTAGATTAGTTATAATACCAAATACAACGTAAATGTTACCTAAGTAGTTGTTACACTATATTGTGTAGGGAATAATGACAAGGGAAAAAACAAAAGCCTGCACATGTCCCCCCAAAATCTTTCATCTTCCATTGGTTGAATTCATGGATGCTGAATCCATAGAAAGGAGGGCTGACTGCATTTACAAACACTTGCAACCAGCAGCACAATCAATTTTAGAACATTGCCATCATGAGCTAAGTACTTCTCATGCCCCTGAATTATTTGGCAGGTGGAAGGGGGTTGAAAGAATGAAGGGATGGTAAAATAGCTTGTTTTTTTCAAAAGTGTGATTGTCAGAGCTGATCGTGCTATTTAGTTATATATTGGGATAAGCCTAAACATAAGACATAGAAAGAAAACGAGTTTTTTTCCTTACAGAACATACAGTCAAGTTTGCTGGAAACCTTGTATCGAAACCGATCCAACCTGGAGACTATTTTTAGGATGATAGACAGTGATCATTCAGGTAAATGCACTCATTGTTCTGTCACTTTCAATGCACAGAAAATATTTTACCTTAAACCCTTCAGTCTGCAGTTCATCTTGATATTTCCACTCAAGCATTTTGGGAGCAAACTAAGTAGTACTGATGCATATAAGTGGCAGGCACTGGAAAAGTACTTGAGCAATACAAGAAGCTGCTACAGCTATTCGGGAGGCTGAGTCAGAAGGATGATTCCTTGAGCCCAGAGGCTCATAGCGAGATCCTTTCTCAAAGCAAACAAACACCGTATAGAAAGGAGTGGGGCAGAGAACAATGAAAGTAAACTGACTGAGAACTTCCTAGAGGAAGAATAATTATTAGAAGATGTGATATCCTGTAGAGTTTCATTAAATATTGCCACAAACTAATGAAGAGTGCCCAGAACAGAAAGACTTTTGCAATCTTATGCCCAAAGTATTTTTTAATTTTTAATTTTGAAATAATTATAAATTCATAGAAAGTTACAAAAATTTACAAGAAGGTCTTGTACATCCTCACCCTGGTCCAAAGGCTTTTTTTAAGGATACTACTTTTTAAAGGTATAATTCACATAGTATATAATTCATCCATTTAGAGTGCACCATTCAGTGGTTTCTAGTTTATATACCACTAATTAACTTTAGAACATTTTCAAAGAAAACCACACTCATTAGTAGCCACTCCCCAGCCTCTACCTTCCCCTAGCTCTTGATAATCAATAAACTACTTCCTGTCTATGGATTTCCCTATCCTGGACATTTCCTATAAATATCATACAATATATGGCCTTTGGTATGCTAATTAAATTCTTTCATTTAGCACAGTGTTTTCTAGGTTCATCCATCTTGTAGCAGTAGTTTCTATATTCTTTTTACACTTTGGGTATACCATATCTTATTTATCCATCTATCAATGGATAGACATTGAGTTTTTTCCACTTTTTGGCCATTGTGAATAATACGGCTACAAACATTCACACACAACTTCTTGTGTGAACATGTTTTCATTCTCTTGAGCATGTACCTGGGAGTGCAATTTCTGGGTCATATGGTAACCATGTTTAATTTCTTCAGGAACTGCCAAATTGTTTTCCACAGTGCCATACCTTTTAACATTCCCACCACTGTGTGGGAGTTCCATCTCTACATCCTTACCAACACCTAGTAGTTCCCATTTTTAGCTTTTGCTTTTTAAATCTTTGTTATGGCCATCTTGTTAAGTGTGAAGTACCCTGTTATAGTTTTAATTTGCATTTCCTTAATAACTAATGATGTTGACCATCTTTTCATATAAGTATTGTCTGATTAGACATCTTCATTAAAGAAAAGTGTATTCGAATTCTTTTGTCAATTTTTTAAATTCGTTGTCTCTTTTTTTTGTGGTCCTGGGATTTGAACTCAGGGCCTCACTCTTGCTAGGCAAGTGCTCTACCACTTGAACCATACCTCCAGCCCCTATCTTTATTTGAGTTGTTAGAGTTATGTATATATTCAGGGTAATAGGACATTATTAGGTATATGCCTCTTATTTTTGTAAATTTTCTTTTCACTTTCTTGGTAATATTCTTGAATGTACAAAAGTTTTTAACTTTGAAAAAGTCCCGTTTATCAATTCTTTTCTTTTGGTGTTTGTACTTTTGGTGTCATAGCTAAGACACCAAAGGTCATCCTGAGAGTTTATAGTAGATAGTAGTCATTGGGCCTCTGTGTCTAACAGTAGGGAGCAGGTGCCCTTGTACAAATGTCAGAGACAGTGGACACTGAAGACTAGACAGACTCATGAAGTGACCTTTCCCCTCTGATAAGGGTTCATCTCTCTGGATGAGTTCAGACAGACTTGGAATCTGTTCAGCTCTCATATGAACATTGACATCACGGATGACTGTATCTGTGACCTTGCACGGAGCATCGATTTCAACAAGGATGGCCACATCGACATCAACGAGTTCCTGGAGGCCTTTCGCCTTGTGGAGCAATCCTGCTCAGACGGCAGTGCTTCAGATTGCCCACAGTCCACAGACACTAATGACAGTGGCCCATGCTGAGAATAGCTTGGTCTTCATCACCCACAGTGCCTCGTAGGCAGTGCCAAGATTGTTGCTCTGCATAGACTTGGGGAATGTTATGCTGAGAATTTGCTGCCAATGTGCATCAGAATCACCTGTGTATTCGGGTGTGGAGGGGTGGGTATATTGTGTGTGTGTGTATTTAAATATATAGCTGCCCCGGCCCCATCTTAAAATCTTCGCAGAGTAGAGCTCAGATATAAGTACTTTTAAATTCTGATGTCTATACCAGTTAAGAACCACTGATAATTCAACCCTCTCATTGTGTTCCTCTTACACGTTTTATTTATTGTTTTAAAAATGGTATGTTGGCAAAAGGAAGCTAGTAAAAATTATATATATAACACTATGACCCAAACATATAAATGTTTTCATTATTTACTTTTTTATTTGTTATAACTACAGTTATTATGTAATTTTATGTTCTGCTTTTAAAATAAATTTACATCTAATTGCAAATACCTTCCCATGTTGCTACATAATCTCCATAATTATTCATATAATGGCCGTGTAATTGTCTTTGATGCTCTCCAATTGTTAAACGTGTATGATTTCCAGGTTTTCATTATTATAAATAACACTGTGGTTAGTAACTTTGTATATATAGCTTGCTTTATAAAAAAATCTTTTGAATTCTACATTTTCTTAGGATAAAACTCTTAGGAATGGGATTACTTGGGCGAGGGGAGTAGCTCAAGTGGTAGAGTGCCTGCCCAGCACATGAAAGGCCCCGAGCTCAAATCCCGGTACCACCCACCCCCATCCCTTCTTCCAGACACAGGTGGCTCATGCTTGTAATCCTAGCTCCTCAGAAGGCAGAGATCAGGAGGATCTCAGTTTGAGTCTATTCTGGGCAAAGAGTTTGCAAGACCTTATCTTGAAAAAAAAAACAAACCCATCACCAAAAAGGGCTGGTGGAGTGGCTCAAGGCGTAGGCCCTGAGTTCAAACCCCAGTAACACACACACATACAGACACACAGACACACACACACACACACAAACCCCTCCAGAATAGAATTACTTTGTGAAAGATTGTTGTATTAGTCTGGAATCTCCAGAGAAACAGAACTAATGGGAGATACAGTTAAATATAGATATGGGTAAAATTTACTATGAGGAATTGTCTTATGATTATGAAAGCTGAAAAGCCCAGCGATTTGTAGTGGGCAAGCTGGAGAACCAGGAGAGCCGGTGGTGTCTGTTCCAATCCAACTCACAAGACCTGAGATTCAGGAGAGTCAATAGTACAAGGTCCACTCCCAGCTCCACAGCAGCAAGGCAGAGAAAAGGAATTCCTTCTTACTTGGCCTTTATTCTAACTGATTGGGCAAGGCCAACTCATCTTGGGAAGGGCAATCTATTTTACTCAGTCTACTGATTAAAATGCTCATCTCATCCAGAAACACTCTCATAGACACACCCAGAAATGCTGCTTAACCAAAATTCAGGGCACCCTGTGACCAGTCAAGTTAACATTCAAAACTAACCACCATAGGTATGAACATTTTTGGCTTGATACATATTGCCAGATTGCTCTCAAGAGTGACCAAAACCAATTTCACCATAAACTTGTTCATAAACTCGTAACTCTAAGTGAGATCATATATAGCTTTTGCTGAAATTTCCATGGTATATTTTAATAGGTTCTTTTATTGATTAGTATCCAATATTGTCTCCCACCTAATTTTATTTGTAAACTAAGGTGGCTGGGTATGTGACCTATTTAATGACACAGCCAGGACTAAAAACCCATCTTTCCTGCCTCTACCCAAGGTTCTTTATCTGAAGAATTGAAGGAATAAATTATCCTCCCCACTCTATGGAATACTATGCAGCCTTTAAAAGAATGATCTACCATTAACTGTGGTTATGCCTGGCCTTAGGGTTGAGGTGTGACTTTCACTTTCTATTCCAATGATGTACCAGGAAAGATTTGAGTGAAATTTTGGAAACAAATCTAATCCCAGTGATATTATTTGGTATTTTTTAAGGTTTTTCTTATGATCGTGAGTTACTTTTGTAATTAAAAATTTTTTTAAAACACACATATTTTAAAATCAAGCTGGTTTGATGTTCCATTAAAAAGGGGCCACCTCGGTGTAAAAAATAATAGGTAGATAGATAGATAGGTAGGTAGATATGCCACTAGGTGTCACTCTGAGCTCTGTGTTTCACAGAAGCTGCTAGAAAGTGCAAGTAGGTAGAATCAGTGTTTTGTAGGGCTACAGGGAAGCACTGACTTCCTGGAAAGAGACCGATGGAACTACTTCCTGGGTTACAGCCAGAAGGTACAAATCAAGAAACAGAGGCAGAAATGGCAGAGGTGGATGCAGGGACATCCGACCTGATCTGGGAGGGCTAAACCTGGACCAGAGTCAGAAAAGAAACCTTCCCAGCAGAAACCGGGCACATCATGGTGCCATCACACAGGTCTCTTCTTAATTCTGGGACATAAATTTATGTGTTTTAGTTGCCTAGCCTTGATCTTGGCACTGTTTCCAAAAATTTCTACCTTATATGCGACTCTTTTCTAGCATCCAGGAAGGAGTTCTGAAAAAAAAAAAAATTAAACCAAACTCAACCCGGCTTCTGTATCTACCTATTAAACTCAGAGTACACAGCACAAAGCAATGTGTTCAATGACACGTTAGGACAAATGACCTGATTCCCTCAACACATAAATGACAAGGGATAAACAAAAAGAGAGGAAGAAGAAAAATAAGATTAAAAGAGACTTAGGATGGAGTGAGCAATATAACATATAGAACTTATTTGGATTCCTTAATCAAAGGAACAGTTATTTTCTTTTTATTCCATCAGAGAGTATGAATAATGATAGAATATCGATGATATTATGGAATTATTTTTCATTTTTTGTAATGACACAGATTATTTTTAAATCCCTGTGGATACATACTAAAATACTTGCTGGGACAGAGGGTCGGGGTGTGAACAAAGCCAGTCTGTCTCCGTGGTGAGCATTGTTGAAATTGTTGATGAGAGCTAATTGTACTGTTTTCTTGGCAATACTAAAGTTTGAACTCAGGGCCTTGCTCTTCCTAGGCAGGTGCTTTCCAAATGAGCCGCACTTTTTCCTTTGGGTTATTTTTTAGATAGGGTCTTGCTTTCTTATTTTAAAAAAATTGTTTTTGGCTCAGGGCTGGTCTTAGACCATAATCCTCCTAACTTTACCTTCTACTTAACTGGAATGAACACACATAAGCCACCATACCCAGTTTGTTTTGTTGAGATGGTGGTCTTGACAACTTTCTGCCTGGGCTGGCTTAGAACTGTGATCCTCTAATTCTCTGCCTTTCCTGTAGCTAGAACTACAGGCATGAGCCACCGTGCCCAGCTATTTTCTTACTTTTTTAATTTGAATTTTTCTATAACAAGCATTTTTTAAAAAGTGGATGTCAGTGTAAGGTGGGAGGAAAAAGTAATATTCTTGCCAAAGCAAGCAATCAAATCAGCTTTCTCGGGGCACAACTGGAATCAACCTAACTAGCCCAGTCACTAACCTTGCAAGTGGACAAGAGGCCATTTGTTAGTTTTGTTTGGTTTGAGAAGAAAATGACCTAATCTCATTAAGCCTGAGTTTCCTCATCTGTAAAATGGGCATCATATAACAATATTTTCCAGGGAAGTCATGAGACTTTTTAAAGTAAACTAAAGTGGAAATGAGACTAAGGAATCCTTGAGCAGACAAAGCCAGTTGGCTTGCAAACATAAACAAAACTTAACTTGAGCTATTCTTTTGTTTTGTTTGTTTATTTGAACTTGGGGCTTGCCACTTGCAAAGCTGGAATTCTGCCGCTTCAGCTACACCTCCAGTCCATCTTGCTCTGGTTATTTCTGGAGATGGGTTGAGAGCTATTTGCCCAGGCTGGCCTTGAACCACCATCCACCCAATCTCAGCCTCCCAAGTAGCTAGGATTACAGCTGAGAGCCACCATGCACAGCAACTTGAGCTATTTCTTGCATATGTCTATCTTAAAGAAAAACAGAACTTAAGTTTAGCCAATCAGAAGCAACCAATAAACACAATTATGTAGCTAGAATTTTTCTAGAGGGATACAACAAAAAAAGCAACTTTATGATCAAATATTTTCCTTGTGTTGCTTAGGTAGTCACTCTATAAAAGCTTGTCCTCATGCTTTGGAAATAGAACCCCTGACTCACTTCTAGTTTAGAGCTGCCTGATTCATGAATTGCTATTTGCTGAAAAAAAAAGTGTTTAAAATTTTTATTGTGCCCCAGTTTACTTTTTAACAGACTTAGATGAAAGGAGCATATACAAAAGTATCTTGAAACCCGCAAAGTGCTACCCATGTGCTAGCAGTTGTTTGTATGGTGGGGCCACAATGAAATCACACCTGCATCCTGTAAGCATTTACAGTTTCTAAGTGCCCCGACGCTGTGTTAGGCACTACAGAGACAAAGATGAACAGAACAAGAGCCGAGTATGGTGGTGTGCATATGTAGCCCCAGCTACTGGGGGAAAGTGAAGCTGAGACAGTAGGATCACTTGAACCCAGGAGTTCAAGGCCACCCTTAGCGATGTAGCAAGTTATGGTCTCAAAAACAAAAATGGCATTAGCTCTACTTGGTCTGATTCAGTGCTTCTCAACTGTGAGCCTTGGAGGCACTTGAGCCCAGTTAACTCAGAATCTCTGGACCCGGGTCCCAGGCATAGGAATTTTTAAAAGACTCCACGATGATGGACTCTGCTGTTCAGGTAGGGTTGTGAGCCATTGGTCTAACTGCTCTTTGATCAATGAATAGTTCTGAGACGGTCATTAAGACAGACTTAGAAGGACAAGAGACTTCTGGCCTAAGCCTATGCTCCATACCAACAGGAAGTACCCAGATGACTTTGACTTCCCATTCCCTAAAAGATATCAGGGTCTCTAGTCCCTGAGTGGGGAATGTTAGGTAACAATTAGCCATGAGCGATGGCACATGCAAAGAAAACTGA